AGGGCAAGTAAATGAGTTTGTGTATTTGGGATGTGTGTTTAGCTAGATATGATAAGGATATAGAACGACGAGTGAATGTAGGAAATAGAGTGAATGGGGCTCTACACTTTATTGTGAAAAACAGAATGTGTCCAAAAAGGCACGTATGGCAATTTACAATGCTGTGTTAGTACCTACTTTAATGTATGGTAGGGAAATTTGGGTGTGGCAGAAGAAGCACGAGAGTAGAATAAATGCTGTAGAAATGCGGTCATTAAGGTGTATGTTATGGATGAATCTGAATGACAGAGTGAGAAATTGTTTAATAAGAGAAGAGTGTGGTTTGCAAGATCATGTTTTGACCAGGATTAAGAAAGGAATGCTTCGGTGGTTTGGTCATGTAGAAAGAATGAATGAGGAAAGAGTGACAAAGCAAATTTATGTTGCAGAGGTGAACGGCAGTCGGGAAGGGTCGCCTTAGGCGAAAGTTTATCGACCAAATTGGCGATATATTGAAAATGGGTCAAATCAAGAGTACCTTTAACCGACGAGCGTGTATGCGTAAGTATATGGATGTGGAGGAAGCGAGAGAGGTATGTCAGAATCGTGCCAAATGGAAGTCCATAGTCTCTGCCTACCCCTCTGGGGGACAGGCGTGAGTGTTTATTATGTTATGTTTTAACATTTATTTCTCCCGACAACAGCCCGAAAATACCGACATTTTCAAATTTTGTCCAGATATTTTGGTCTTCCGATCTGGCAACCCTATGTAAAATGCGCAACAAATACTACGCCGAAATCGGCGTACCCGAGGCAGTCGAGTTGCAGGCGAACGTACCGAATGTTTTATTAAATTTTGATCATAATTCGAAGTAAAATACCAGTTTACGTATTGAAACTGTGTAAAAATAATACTACAAGAAATAAGAAAGACACTGGAATCACATACTATCATTAAGTATCATACAATTTCGAAATTTTAACATAAAATAACACGAGCCATAAATAAGTCATAAAATATCAATGACGCTATTCAGTGTTGCCGTGAATGCAAAAATAAAGTACCCCGTGGCTGAGATTTTTATATGTGAATTTATTGTTACTATATTTTATAATATAATATATTAAACTTATTATAGTATAGTATTGCTTAAATGACATAATTGCCATTTATTAGGGCTCCGTCAGACATACCTCAAAACCTGAAAACGAAATTGTACAACCAGTGCGTGTTGCCAGTGATGACTTACGGAACTGAGACGTGGTCCTTCACTGCTGACCGTGTGAGAAAGCTCAAGGTCGCTCAGCGAGCTATGGAGAGGGCTATGCTCGGAGTTTCTCTGCGTGATAAACTTAGGAATAAGGATATCCGCAGTAGAACCAGAGTAACCGACATAGCCCAACGGATTAGTAAGCTGAAGTGGCAGTGGGCCGGCCATATAGCTCGAAGAACCGACAACCGATGGGGAAGAAAGGTTCTCGAGTGGCAGCCTCGTACCGGTAGGCGAAGTGTAGGGCGTCCCCCCACGAGATGGAGTGACGACCTGGTAAGACATGCAGGAAGTCGATGGATGCAGGTGGCTCAGGACCAGTAATGCATGCAGCAGTAATGATGATGATGATGATGAAACATACTCGTCAAAAACTTCTAACTTAGTGCTCCCAACAACTACCGGCATAGGTATAACATGGACGTTAAACATGATGTTTGTTTTGTCCATGTTCATCTTAAGACCTATCCGTTGGGAGACACTATTGAGGTCATTCAGCATAGTGCTTAGGTCCGCCTCCGGAGTAGTGCCAACATGGAGGACGGAATTAAAGAGCTTCTGAAGGACTCCAAGTACCGGTTTTCCACCCGCTTTCAAACGCTCCGCTGTAATTCCATCCTTGCCCGGGGACTTTCCGTTTTTAAGGTGCTGGAGAGCCATTCTAATCTCGCTCAGACTGACGTCCGGGATATCTTCGGAATAGTGTCGGATAAGACTCGCTCTTGGATCGTTACTCACACTTGCGTGTGGCTCCAACGATGACGTGTACAGCTGCCCATAGAACCTCTCAATCTCACTCAAAATCTCAGGTGTCCCGGAAACGACGCTGCCACATTCGGTCTTCAGTTTTGACAGTTGGCTCTTTCTGGCAGACAGATCTCTGGCAAAGAATTTGGAGCCTTGGTTCCGCTCGATCGCTTCTTCTATACAAGCTGTATTGAAGTTGCGTAAGTCTCGCCGCATGCATTTGGAGATCTGTCTGTTCTGTTGCCTGTATGCTGTCAAATCTGTTGAAGAATGTAGTTTCATCTCCCGTCTAACAGCCATGAGATTAAAAGTATGATCGGAGAGTTTTTGTGTTCTTCTGCGGTGGATCTTTCGAGCTAACGGTTTTGTAACTCGAGCTGAAAGCTTTCGGGACTTTGGAACAGAGCACGAGGGGGACGGAGCGTTGACTTCATTAGACGTGACCTCTCCAACTTAACGTTTAGGTTCAGTGTGCCTCTAACCATTCGGTGATCGCTACCAGTTTTCACCCTCGCGATCACGAAGACATCACTGAACAGTTGTCGTCTGGTCGTCATAATGAAGTCAATCTCATTTTTTGTCGAACCGTCGGGGCTCAACCAGGTCCACTTCCTGTGGGGCCGCTTCTGGAAGAAAGAATTCATCATAAAGAGTCCCTCTTTCTCAATGAAGTTGGCCAGATGCTGGCCCCTTGGGTTCCGTTGCCCTATTCCAAATTTCCCTACTTTCAGCTCACCGTTCTTTCTTGTGCCTAATTTTGCATTGAAGTCTCCCATTAACACCGTATAGTGGGTTTTGGAGGAATGCATGGCTCTAGAGATATCCTCATACATTTCCTCCAACTCCCCATCGGGGTGTGCCGAGGTTGGTGCGTAAACCTGTATGACCTTCAGCGAATACCGTTTGGTGATTCTGAGTATGAGGTACGCAACCCTCGCCGACATACTCTCAATCTTTACAACGTTGTTAACGAGAGACTTGTGGACGATAAATCCGACACCTCCTTGGTACAGAATGCCGCCCTCCCGGTGATAGAACAAGTTACCGGATTCGAGGATTACGGTGTCCTCCCCCTCTTTTCGGACCTCGGATAATCCTATAATATCCCAGCGTAACTTGTCTATCTCTTCTTCCAGCTCCACGATCTTCTCGACAGTCCTCAGGGTGCGTGCGTTGTATGTTGTCAGGTTGAGTCGTCTTAGGTGGCAACCGAACCACCACCGGAGATTCTTAGCACCCCCTGCCCCGCCGTTACCATGGTCGCCACCGTAGCCAGGAATATCGGGGCCGCCAAGGACTGGGGGCCGTCTCTTTATTACTCTCATCATATACCCCCGTATCATAAAATACTCCCCGTATTTGCCATAGTTGCCACGCTTGGCTAGCGGGTTGGCAACCGCAGTTTTTTTATTCTAATTTTGCTGTTATCAGGAAGATACTGCTGCCCATCTCCTGCCTGTTTCCCTTTGTCGCCTTTTACGACACCCACGGGAAGATATGGGGTAGTGGATAATCTTAACCGCCACTACACGGCACTCCTATCCAGTAAACGAACAATCAAACCTATAGCCCTCTCCTATCACTGTCGGCCAGGATCTATAATGGCTTTGTCATTGAATACCACCAGACAATGAAGGCTGGTATGTAAAAGAGAAGACTTGCTGTATTTCTAAACATCAACACAGCAAGTATCCTCAGCATGCTCATAAGCAAAACAGAAAATCTCATCAGCATGCCTAAAAAAATTTCCCACCCTTGTTCCACATAAACTAGGCTACTTAGCATAGTTGGTATATGCTACTCATTTTTGTTGGTATGGGTACAGTATCGTTAACTGTTTTACCTCCTTAAATATTGTAAAGGATTAAATTGGCATCCTGTATATTTTTTATCGATAACCCCAATCGATAAACATCGTCAATCACTAACTTTAACATTGGCAACTAAAACTAAATAGTGAAGTTTACTGGATAACAGAGGGCACATATTACAATAAAAATAAATGTTTTAGAACAATCTACTAGAAATAATAAAATTTAAAGATTATTCAGTAAATATATGTTATACTTACGATAATAAACCGAAATCACGTTCATTTTTGCTCCATATCGTGACTTACAATATCTTAATGCACAACCGGGCATATTTTCTTTAAAAATATTTTTTAAATATATGAAATTAATGCGTCTTGACTTTTTGACGATGTCACTAAGAATAAATGACAAAAATCGGAGATATAGGACATAAGTTACAGACGATAATTTTGCTGCTGATGTCCGGTCTATTACTACTACTACTTAAATGTCTTTGCCTTTTAGGAAGTCTGTCAATTATTACAGTATACAGTTTATGACAAACCAAGTAAGAAAGTAAGATAAAGTCAGGGTTTGTTCCAAACACAGATAAAATCTATACTTACTAAAGTACGTGAGGGTAATATCACCTTAAGCTTTGCCGCCCTTTAAAACCATAATTAGGAGGAGGACAGAGAAAAAAACACAAAGTCTATAATTAATATATTAAGAAAAAATAGCAAACAAGCTTTGGCAATAATTAAGAACACTTCGAAAAATTAGTTTAAAGAAAATTAATGACACTTCACAATACTAAAATCGACTAAATATCTACTATAATGTCAACTGTCAAAATGGCGTCGATATAGCAGCGCCCCTTTGACCTTTTATTATTTGGTTGACTGATGAAGAGCTATCGTATTATAGAGCCATCTATGCAAACTAGGCTGTAGTTTAAGAGTTATAAGAAAGTGACCATATTAACGGGATCACCATATTACCCTCACGTACTATATTATTAATACATATAATAAAGCGCAAGAGTTTTTTTTTTGTTTATTTAAGCACGCTAACTTCTGGAACTACAAGTTCAATTTGAAAAGTTATTGTTGTATATAGTAGCCAGATACATGAGAAGTAATATAGGCTATTTAGCATTAGGCTATACCTCTCAGCTAGTAGATTATAAAGGTATATATAGTTTACTTACTTCCAACGTATTTGTGAAAGGGGCAATAGCTTTTATAAGGGGACTTCTTACATTTCCCATAAAAGCTATTGGTGCAAGAGCATGCATCGCCATTATTTTCTCATTGTACTCGGGCCTCATGGATGACATGACCCAGAAAGCAGTCGTTCCCTGAGAGAATCCAATGTACTGAATTTTAGAAACGCCCGTTTCCTTTAAAGCATAGTCAATCATAGCAGGTAAATCATAATATCCGATCTCATGCCAACTGAACTGCCAAAACTTTGAACGTGTCGGATTCGTAGATACATGATTACGAGAGTACGTGTTGCCTCTAGCGTTTCCCATCCAGACGTCATAGCCGGCATCGGCTAGAATATATGCTGTAAAATAATTTTACTTAAAATAATACCCAATGAAAATATACAACATTATTCAATTGTAAGATTATTTCAGGAACTGCTATGAAGCTTGGCGAAGCATTACTTTTCTATCGGCAAACATTATATAACAATACGTGGTAGAGCCATGCTGCAGCTATATTAATAGTATAGTTGTAGCACGAATGGGTCGGCTCGACCGGGAAAGGACCAGGCTCTCACAGAATACCAGCGTAAAATAGTAGTTTAATACTGCTGTGTTTCGTATGGTGAGTGTAGAGAACCGGAGACCCTTTTTACTGGAAACAAGGCATTCTAACTTAGTCATCACGGGTGACAACGCATCTGCATTTTGATTCGCAAACGAGGATAAATGTAGATGTTTATGGGTCACAGCAACCACTTACCATCAGGTGGACTGTGTGCTCATTTGTCACCCTAATCCTATAAAAAAAAAACAGCAGAATGCACTGCTGTTTGACTCTTCCGGGCTGAAGGGTATAGAGAGGCATTCTATCTTAGAGAGATTTCCTCAGAGGTGACCACACATCTGTAGCCTATTTTTTATTCTACAATAATTTAAGGGACATTTACCGCTTAGCGTATGTCAGTCCCATCATACCCTAACATACATCACTTACTCATATAACGTTAATTAATACTTGTTATACTACGTGGGCCATTCATTCGAACAGAACTTTCGCATCGTCGCCATTTGGTTGGGATAAAATATTATGAAATGTGCCTACGTCAGTGCTGTTCAAATTTAAGACTCTTATTAAATTACTTCTAACAGACTTAAATCGAACACATTCCATCAATATACTATAGTGTAGGTCTTCTATAACTTCACAGTCTCCACAAGCCTATTTTATTTAAATGTGGTTGCAGTTGTCAACATCCACTTACCACCAGGAGTACTGTAAACTGTTGTCACCTCTGTTTTATAAAAAAAAAAAAATGACAGTCTTGCATAACTGAAGTACTATTGTTGAAACCAGTGCATTCTCGTATGAATTCTACCTTCCTTCATTTTCATCTTGATTTATTTGTTTTTCATCGTAGTTCGTAAACAAGCCTCTGTTACTGTCGGAGTGGATTGACCTTGCATATTTTTATGGTCTTGTAAGACACTCTTATACCGGTTAAATATTTTTAATATTTCCTTTAATCTTCTTTTACGAGACCCACGGAACTAGATGGAGTGATAAATTTCTAACACCATCACTACACGACCCATATGTATAGTTTTGATTGATTTACTTTATTATTGATATAAAATGTAATTACGAGGGTCACACTAAAATGATCGGGAATAGAATATTTCGGATTGAGCTACAATAAAACCTTTTTTAGAATATGAATACTGGCCTCTTAGAATCTTAATGACATTCAAACAATTTAAAAAATGTTTAAAAACAAAACCTATGATGGTTTAAAGTTGACACGTCGTTAACAGAAATGGAACTCACGCGTGAACATTTCCGTGCCATAATTTATCACAATTTTCGTCGCGGCTTATCTCAAAATAAATGTCTCAGCGAACTTGTTTCGATTTATGATGTTGAAGCACCGAGTCAAACTACAATATACCGCTGGTATGCCAGCCAGTAATATTTCAGTGTGCCTCTCATATTACTTGGGAGTACACTGTAGTACTGATGTCCCTCAGACCGAATTTCGGTTACGGTGACCAGTCTCATCGGAGACTAGCCATCTGCGCAGGACAGGATTATACTGCCCAAGTATATGCGCAATCACAGGTGCACTCTCTATTCTTTCACTCTCATAGTCCGATGGGATGGTAAACCGACACGAGTGGATAGAGATCAGGCACAGGACCAACGGCTTTACGTGTTTTCCACGCCGCCAATTTCCTGACTCTGGGCTGCTACTGAGAATTCCTTGATTAAGTTATGACATGTTTAGCAGTGTGATTGTGTTACTGTAGTGGAAATCGTGGTTGGCTTCGTTTTGACGTTTCGTGTTTAGTTTAGTCATTTGTATCTATTATAAGATCTTTATGATAATAAATTAATGTTATTTTAGGCTACAAAGTGTAATCACTTTTTTCATTAGTTACAACCAAACAAAAGTCCCTTCCTGAACTTAAGTCTCCAATATAGATTGCCTCAAAGGCAGGTATTATTTGCAATAGTTGCCACGCTTGGCAGGTGGTTGACAATTGTAAATCAAAAGGGAGCTGCTGTCCATCTCTCGTCTTTTACGAAATCTATCTTAATTTAAAAAAAGGAACGCTGTAGAGGAGTGATTCTAAACAATAGTGAGGCAGTGTAACTGTTACACTGCCACACTATTGTTTTGATAATCTGTGGGCATGTCTGCTAGATACATTTCTTTGGCCTAAAGGACAAGCATCCAAGCCAAATATTAATAAGATAAAAGATTTCTATCAAGGTTTGACTTTGTATTCACACGTACATATAGCCAAGCAGCAACTAACACCACATTTCTGCTTAGTGCAGTGTTCATACGAGAATGCACTGGTTTCAACAATAGTCTAAGTCGATCTCTAAGTTTTACTGGAATAAAACCTTTACTCCCTATCGGTTCAGCTATTCCACATATTAGCCCAGACAGAGACAGATTAAAATTTATAAAGTGGTTGCTCTGCTGAACTAGTCTCTCCCATAGATTGGCTCATATTACAAAAGTTGCCATGCGTGGCAAGCGGGTTGGCAACCGCAGTTTGTTTGGTTCATTTCATTCTATCAAAATAATAATTTTGAAAATCAACATTGCTTTACCAAGGCCTTTTCCTGGTCTCATAAGGACCCATTCTGCAGAAGATGAAAGTAAGCCATGTTGGAGAAAAACCACTGGCAGCCGTTCTGCTTTGGTCTTGTTTCGACCATGAGGGACTCTGTGCAGTTCCAAAATGTATCTGTCTTCAGTGTATACTTTGTGTATCTCACAAGGATAGCCATATTTCCTAATTAGTGTAAACTGTAATTAACAAAAAAAAGTGTAAAATTTAAATAAAATAACAGCCTTTTTTATAGGAGAGTGGGCAAACGAGCATAAGGCTCACCTGATGGTAAGTTACTGCCACCGCCCATGAACAACTGCAACACCAGGGGAATAGCAGGTGCGTTGCCGGCCTTTTAGAAAGTAGTAAGCACTTTTCTTTAAGGTCCCTAAGTCGTATCTGTCCGGAAAAATCGCCGGTGGCAAACTATTCCACAGAGAGGGCGTGCGAGGAAGAAAACTCCTATTAAAATGTATAGTGGTCGACCAAGAAGCATCCAGATGGTGTGGATGGTATCGGGAGTTTTCCCGCGATGTGCATTCGTGAAATTTGGCGGCTGGAATTAATCCGAACGATTCCTCAGAGCACTCCACGTGGTAGATGCGAAAGAAAATGTGAATCGACACGATCAGAGAGGACTCTGTCGTCGACGATTCGCCTACATAATATGACCCACCGCTCAGCACAGGCCTCCTCTCATTGATTTGGATGATTTGGGGGAAAGGAAAAGCCCGCTGCCCTATGTCCTAATGAGTTTTTACAAACGTTATATTATGTCGCAGAAATTTTTAGACATATAGGTTTCCTTATTAACCGCGTTAGGCTTAATACTAGGTATCATGATCATATATTGATCATCCACCAAAATTTTATACCGTTACAGCCCATAAAATTCCACTGCCGAACAAAGGCTTCCCTATATATTGCCTCATACGGGGTATACTTGCCATAGTTGGCACGTTTGGCACGCGGGTCGACAACCGCAGTTTTTTTTCTAATTTTAGTCATTAATATAAAGACGCTGTTGCCCATCTCCTGATTTGTTTCCCTCTGTTGCCGCTTAGGACACCCACGGGATGATATGGGGTAGTGGATATTCTAACACCGCCACTACATGGTAAATTTTATACAAATGGAATAAAAACTAGGCAAATATTTTTACGTCCTTCCCAAATTTGAGTAAGTTATATATTGTTTATAATACTAAAGGTTGGCGGAGGTAAACACATATAAAAACAATTTTATTAAAAAAGTTGACTCTCAAACATTAAACAATTAAAAAAATGTTATTATTGCATTTATATTGTTAAAAGAATTCTCATAAACTTACTGTATCTAAAAGAGCATCTTCTATAATACTTGGATCCGTTCTACCGTTTTCTGATACATTAACTCGTGCGTAGACACATGTTGAGAAATACAATATTAATAAGTGATACCAAGAATGCTTAACTTTTAACGACATTTATAATAATCTTTTATCCAGTGAACAGATTGTTCAATGAGTAACAGCCGTCTGAACAAATGTATGTGTACTCACTAGTTAATGTATAAAAGGTGGATAACTGATACCGATAAGCAGTTTAAAGAGTTAATTTTATAGAGTAACATTTTATCTTTGAAGTATCAGTTATATTAAAAATAAGTTACTATCGCGAATGACCTAAAATAATCTTCATTGTATTGTTTGATCGAAAGCTTACATATTCGTTATCCTAATAAGTTTTCTAACATATTTCAAGCCAGTGCTTGACTACAATCCCACCTGGTGGTGATGAAAACCTGGATGAAAATTTCACTTATCTTTACGCAGTGTTTTTAAGCTTAGCGTAACTAAAACCTATTCACTCTTGCTTTGAAGACGCCCAGATTGTAATCGGACGGAAAGACCGATTAATTATTATTTATTTACAGTGATAATAATGAAAATGGCTGCAATTTATTTTAATTATTATTGTTTTAATTATATAATTATTTAATCATTATCAATTATTCAATGTGAAGTATCGTGTAAAATCTTTCTGTTGCTCAAGGAGCCACCCAGCGTTCAAAGTTCACACTTTTTAGGATAAATGTCTAAAAGTGTTGCAAAGCACAAAAATGTCGTTTTCCACATATTTTCTACTACCAGCGTTCTGACAAACAAAATTTTTATTTTAGTTATAATCGTGATAGTACGTCTGCAATGTCACCCGTATTATCAAAATATTGTTAATGTAAAAGGACGTATCTACATATTATGTCTAGGACATATCGGTTATCGAGTCTATGCTTACAGCGGTCTCGGTCATGGTGAAGCAACAGTAAAATTTGGAGCAGTAGTTTTTAAATTATTAACAAACTAATATTCAAGCATTACATGAACACGCTATTTGACTAGAAATATTTTGACCCGTTTCACAATTATAATATAAAACTATCTTTATTTATCTTTATTATTGTAACATAATCGACTTGTATTTCTACTATTTAATACCTTTTAAATATTTTAAGTAGATTTAGTAAATTAAAGAACCAGGCTCTCACAGAATACCAACGTAAAATAGCAGGTTAACTGCTAGTTAGCTGCCGTGTTTTTATTGTGAGTGTAGAGAACTGGAGAACCTTTTTACTGGTAACGAGGTATTCTGTCTTAGTCCTCAGGAGCGTCAACGTATCTTGATGATGCATTTTGATCCTTAGTCGAGAATTGATGTAGATGTCATGGACCATAGCAAACACTTACCATTATGTGGACTGTGTGCTCGTTTGCCACCCTTATTCTATATAATAAATAAATAAGAGGTGACAGTGGGAATTGAAACATAATGCTCTTGATAACAATTCAAAATAATATAAAAACTGCGGTTGCCAACGTGGCAACTATGGCAAATATTCTAGGCCTATGTTTGACAGTAGATTTTGATAGATTGTTATGACGATGCATGGATGAAAAATTGTATTAATAATGTTATATATTCCCTAATTTAAAACATTTTCTTACTTAGGTACTGATTTTTAGGTGTTCGCTAGTATACGTTTGTACATTGTTGTTGATGGTCTATACGAGTCTTTGTTATCAACAAGCGAGATTCTTCGAGTACCTTTTAGATGGTAGTCGATAGGTACCTATAGGTAGAGATATAGGTTGATGGGTATAGATTTTATTTAGTTACAATACAATATAATACTCTTTATTGTATCTACACCAAGAAGAGATAAACAAACATTGGGGGGAAAACAAAAGGCGGTCTTATTACCACACTAGAGATGTTACGGAGGTTCGATTCCGATTCCGAAAGTTCGGAACTTCCGGTTGATTTTGCACCTCCGATTCCGATTTCGGTTTCGTTAAATTTTAATTGGACGTTATATATCGGAAATCGATGGACAGTGGTGGCGGCGGCTGCGATCAGCGTGTACAAATAATTTTATACATGTCGCCCAGGGAACCTCCATCTCCCGTGCCTTCTGTCGATTACTCTTGAACTTGATGTTTTGTCTCGTATTTGGCAATTATTGGCATGTTGTGCGTTCGTGCTTCATTTATACCTATCCGAGTTTGTAATTAGTTTTAATAGATTATTATTTGACGTGTAACAAATTTATTTGATTTGGACAATGAAGCCAAAATCAAGTGCCATTTGGAGTTATTTCAATGAAGTTTCTGAGGATACGGCAAAGTGTAAGCTATGTGAGTCGATATATTCACGAAATGGAGGTACGACTATTTCGTTAAAAAGTAATTTAAAGTCTGTGCATGCCACTAAATTTGAAGAATTCAAAAAATTTGAAACTGAAAAAAATACAGTGCAATAGACCTGCCCTTAACACATCTCTTCTGCCTCCACCTCCGATTCCGGTTCCGATTTCGGTTCCGGTTCCGACAAACAAAATTTAAGAACTCCGCTTCCAAATTCGGTTCCGATATAACCACTTCCGTAACATCCCTATACCACACAGCAATCTCTTCCAGACAACCCAGAAGAAGAATTAAATAAATAAAAAATAAGAAAATCTTAACGGGGAGGGTGCACTAAAATAAAAAAGATACCAACTTATGTACTAATAAATTATAGTTAAAAAATACTAAAAAAACACGCTTTAAAGGTAAAAATATATTTTTGGAAATAAGAATAGTATAATTAACGAGGATAAATATTATTGTAAAAAGCGTTCTATATGTATATCGAGCACCCCACGCTATTTCATTGGTACGATTAGTACAAATATATTGTGAAGCGCCCCACGCTTTTTTACAATAATATTTATATTCGTTAATTGTACCATTCTTATTTCAAAAAAAATATTTTTACCTTTTTAGTTCGTTAAACCATTAAAGCGTGTTTTTTTAGTTTATTTTTTCAACTACAATTTATTTTCACTTTTTAGTTTGAGTTATCATCTTATCTTTTAATCCTGGCGATCCTGTTCAGGATAATGGGAAGAACTTATCAAGTAATAATTATAAGTAAATTAAGTATTGTCAGTAAACGTATGCAAAGTTTCAATTTAAACTGACGTTTGAAAGTGGGTGAAAATCAAATTTAGAAGAGTCGATTACAAACAAACATACACGTGAAGCTTAAATAAAGATGAATGACCAAAAATAAGAAGAGAAAGAGAGAGGAGTTAGAGAGAAAAAACAAATAGTGTTCCTTAACCTGTTTCTGGAACACATTTACGGATTGAGCACTTTTAATTGACTGGGGTAAGGTGTTCCAAAGTCTTACTCCAAAAACAGAAAATGTTTTATCATAATAAGTAGGGGAGTGAACAGGACATTGAAGGGAAAGATTTTCTTTGGATCGCAAGGAAAAATGATGACAGAGGCTGAGTAACTTAAAACGTTTTTTTAGATAGGGAGGAAGGACTTGATTATATTAAATAAGACGCAATAGAGGGCAGAAAATATATGAGTATTCCGACGAGATGGATTGGGAGCCACTTGAGCTTAGTGCGGCATTCCGAGACATGGTCATATTTGCGAAGCCCAAATATGAACCTAAAGTTTGTTAAGTTGCTCCTCGGTGATATCAAGGTAACAAATAGTAAAGATTGTGCAAGCTTAATTTTGATAGAAATGGGTAAAAAATAGTTAAGTCTCCGGAGTGAAGCATATGCTGAAAACATTTTACGGCACACTGCATTAATTTGGAAATTCCAAGAAATTCTGGAATCCAAAAGGACACCTAAATTTTTAACAACGTCATTATCTCTCTTCTTGATCTTCTATGGTTGTTTGTAAATATATTTGGAGATCATATGCATACAAATAGTAGAGAGAAGATATTTGAGACGTAATCGTATTAATAAAGATTGCGAATAAAAGAAGAGATAAGCTAGCTACTTACCACTGAAGGTATTGTATCTTTCTGCACAACCTTTGTTTTATTACGATGTTTTCATTTAACGTTCAAATGTAACTTTGTAAATATGTTTTTGAGTAATTGAACTGTTATAATTATTATCTAAAAAAAATATTAAGCCCTTACTTTAATACTTAATGTTCGAAATAAATATATTTTAATGTATGCTTATTAATGCATTTTAATTCTTCAATCTTACATATATGATAAATTTTAGACGAATTCATACAGAAATTAATTATTATTTACATAGTAATGTTTTTTTTTTTTTGCGAGAAACCCTAATTCTTTTTCTAAAATAAAATTTGCTAAAAGTTACTCCTTATGACATCATATATCTGCCAGTGAAAGTCCCGTCAAAATCGGTCCAGCTGTTTCTGAGATTAGCCGGAACAAACAGACAGACAAAATATTTTTAAATGATTACAGACAAAATATTTTTTTTTGTTATAAGTACCGTATATACTTTCATATGCATTGAGTAAAAAGCTGTAATTTTGACATTACAAACGGACACTGCAATTTTATTTATTTGTATAGATGAACCTACCTAACATGCCTCTGACAGACTTACAAATAGCATCATCATCATTCCAATAGCAGCCTATCACTGATGAATAAGGCCACAAGCTTACATAAAGTACGGGTCTAAACCAAAAAATCTTAGAACCGAAAGTAATTAGAAAGAATAGATATTAGAGATAAAATGTGTTAAAAATTTAAGTTGTTGACATGAATACAAATTAGTTTCTAAAAATCAGTATAATTTATTTATCACTTTAATACCGAGCATAATTTCGAAATACATAATATATCTAATTCGACAATTGTCAAGGTGCAAGGATTATAGATAAGATAAAATCTCTAAAAGACTTAGAACGTTAAACAATAAAACAAATATTTATTAAATTAGCTAGCAGCCTTGTTCTATTCTATAGTATATCGTATACGGTATTCCCCCCCCCTCCCCCCGCAATGGTGAACGAAGAGGCATGATTGGCTCGAGGTGAAGAGCCGGCTCAAAGTGGCAACTCCGAGAGAGTTTGGCAAGCCCGCTTTAGATGTGTGTTGGTGGGCTGCTGTACTTCCTCGTATCGGGCTCGGGGGTAAGGGGGGC